CAACAGCAAAACCTTCACGCTTATTGGGAAATGTTATTGTCGCCGCCCCCACCCCACGAACTGGCCAGTGTAAGTCTTCCACCGTCGTTATCCGACCAACATCAATGCAGATTTGGTCCTCCTAGACCACTGAAACAGCAAAACCTCCATGCATATTCAGACACGTTATGGTCGCTACACCCACCCCGCCAACTGGCTGTGGGATGAATCCATCGAGATGTTCTGTGCATTTTTGCGGAATGGCGGACTCAGTCGGGCACCATCAACAGCTCAAACCTCGTCGGATTCATATCCGCATCGCTGCACACCCAGTCTCCTCCCCCCCCCCCCCCCACCATCCCCTTTAAAACGGCGAACCAACGAGAAAGAAAGAGCGGGCCGCCACCGCCCCGCATCGGCATTCAACTGGAAGATGACCCTTGTGATTCAAAGAGGTGTGAAACTGCGTCACTGACCGGCCGGCAGCTGCCGGGCGGGGAGGGGAGGCCCGGGCCCGGACATTGTCCGCGGAGTGCCGCCGACGGCCGTCCGACAGCTGAGACGATTACCAGCGCCCGCCGCCCGCTAACAAGCCCGACACCTCGTAAAACCCGATCAGCGCCGGCAACACTTGTCCATGAATGCTAGTGAATGGTTACCTGCTGAAGCTGAGCGGCCTGAGCGCGCCGCGCTAGGCGGTAACGCGACACGGGCAATCGAAGCCGCTATTCATGGAGGCCTGCTGTCGAGGGATCTCATGAAATCCAACGACGAGCTACGCTGAAATGGGCGCAGGGTAACCGTTCAAGTGTGTGTGTGTGGGGCGGGGGGGGGGGGGGTACCTTGCGTCCGTTTTCGGATTGGGACAGGGTCTCCTTCATTTCCGGTTCGGGACCACGCAGCTTGTCAACCCCACGTTTCAACAAAGAGGAACGTTCTACGTGCCGTCAGAGCGAGATGATGACGTGGTATTGACGGCGTGTGGACAGGACTTGGTAGTTATCTGCAGAACACCCCAGCGTTCCCTGCTCTCGCCGCCCGAGACGCAAGCCACGAACACGCGGCGGCACAACGCTGATGTTTAATGCAACAACCGCGGCCGTTCATCTTATTACCCATTCTAATGAGCGCAAATTTGGCGGCTGCAGGTGTCGGCGCCGTTTGCGTGCTCGTTCTCGCGCCGTATAGCCGGCGGCCGGCGCCGGCTGCGCGCCCGCCCCGTCAGGGACGCACGCCGCCCGGACGCGGCCAGATCCGCGCCGCGCCACCCGCGGTCGGCACGCTCGGCGGCCCGGTTATGTCAGCGGCTCCCCGTCTCACCCCGCGCTGCTGCCGGCGCTGTTTGCGCGTCCGCAGCGCCCATTTCGCACTCCCCCGCTTTATGAAGCATTGTTGTCGCGCCGTTATGCCGGGGTTCAGACCACCGTATCACGCCGGGGGGGGGGGGGGGGGGGGTCTGATGATGTCGGTAGTAGATAACCCCGCGGGGACCGGCTCTTCGTCAGACACGGAGAACGCCGCCGTAGGTATCAACAGGCATATTGTGACATATGCCGCTTGTTTGAACCGGAGACCGTGTCATACATTTTGTGTGGCGCTGCTCCTATTCGGAATGTAATACTTGTGCCGGAGGAATATTCCTATCGTGACGGTTGACGAAGTGCATCTCACGTGATTTATCACGTTGGTGACAGTCGTTTATTGGTATCGCAAGCAATGTGTCGTTAGATTATGGTTGTTGGGCTTGCTGTGCTAATGAAGGGAAGTGCTGTCACCAGCGGTGGCACGGATTTACTCGGTCCAAGTGGTCTCGCGGTGTCGACGATCTTAGCAGGAACGTGCGCAGAAGACTAAATCAATCAGTCGGATGGATGAGATTACGGGAACGCCCTGCTTTGGTGAGAACATGACCAGGCTCGCGTGCGACGTGGGAACTGATGCCGGAGAATAACCGATTCATAGATTACATTAATGCATGGATGTGTTGGAAACTTGGGAACTTTAAAGCTTACTCAGGCACCGTTGGGAATCCGTGTGCACACTCTGTGCGTGGCCACAGTCTGGCTCCACGCGCGCGCCGCGCTTCGGGCGCGCAGAGGCGCGCACGCACGCGCACGCCGCGCTTCGAGCGTGCAGAGTCGCGCGCGCACGCACGCGTCCAGAGGCGGGCACAGATTAGTCGCATCAACCGAGGTAAACAGATGGACCCTGACGCGGCTTTCTATGCATTACAAAGCCCCGTCCGATCGCAGACAGCGGATGGGTCACCGTAATTTTGTTTTGTGTGCGCCCCTCGACACGCGTCCCAATTGACTGGCGTCATCGGGAAATGGATTTGCGCACAAATGTGGTCCAATCATAGTCGTTGGGAGCGGCGTGCATGGGACCGACGCCGCTCATCTCCATGACAACGGATTATCGTTAGCCACCCTTCTGCCCCGCGGCGCCGGCAACGGGCAGCGGGGGCGAATCAGAACTGATCAGTAATCAGAACGCATCGGAATCCATCGGCCTCGGTCGAGGACGGGAATCACGACAGGATACTAGTCTATTGGAAGACGACGGCAACCCTTCAGAGTTGTTGAAACAGCTACGAATGAAAGCTGACATCGAATCCGGACCGAGCTCTGCAGCTCAGCTGAAGCGAATTCGTACGAATTTCCAATGTGAAATTCGTGCTCGCTGAACGGTGTAGTTTGACCCCACTTCGACGATGGCATAATTTACACAAAATCGTATCTGCGGAGGATTTTACGATTGATGACGCTTAGCTGTATTGCTGGGCAAAGGTGGGACTTTTCAGTCATTGGGGTCAATATTGGTATTTTAACTGCATTGTTTCCAGACACCGTCCGCAAGCCTCATGTCAGTCAGCGCCGGGGGCTCGGAGTGGATGCTAGCGCTTAGGCAACATTTCAAACACCACAACAGCGTGCTGAGACAGCGCCGTGAAACTTGGCATTGCTGATGATGCACTCATCGCACGTGTTTGGCAAAAAGGCCAGTGTCAGGTCATGTCAGGTCACTGAACCGCAGGACTATTTCTGAAGGCTTGCCGAGGCGTTAGTGCACCAGTTCTTAGTCTTTCGATGTACATAAGCAATCGAGTGCATTTTTTATTAGGCCACTTCGCGTAGGCCAGTCAGTTACCTTTCCAAAGTCAATCGAGTTCAAAGACTTATGATAATCTCATTTGACCTGTGATTGCTTCCATAGCTCTTATTTGCGAACTCTGACCCGGATCACAGTTGTATGTCTTTTTGTCTGTAAAGCCACAATGCGTTCGTTTAAAAGTCGTATTTTTTGCTTCATGATCCCAAGTAGGTATAACATCATACTGACCTGGCCTGGAGATTCAGCATTTAGCCTCAGCAGGTTAAACTGAACATGGCCTGATGCATCATATGCCGGGTTATTCACTGTTTTGTCCACGTCCCTATCTTCATTTAGAACCATGTGACTGGGAGGGGTGGGTGTCATCTCTCACCGTCCTTGTCAATGACGGAAGTCAAGAAAAAGCTCTTGCCCGTTGAAAGTTAACGTTCAAAGCCATTGGGGTCGATGGGGTTGATCCCCAAATGTTCAGCTTAAATTGCCGACCAACGCCTCCATAAAGCACAAACGATCCGCTGGGGTCGTAGGCAGAATTGTCCTGCAGGAGGTTCGCGAATTTCGTTTTATCAAAACAATTTGTGATATGATATAAATTGTGATATGATGAGAAAACTTACCCTTCCAAGTTAATACAACATAACGCACACAACTGCCGGGAATCAGAGACCATGCAGGCAACTACCAGCATAAGCAGGTTCTCGTGCTCTCGACATCGAAGGGATTAGTCTTGAAAGATATGGGACTTCCTCGTCCCACCCTGGGTTCTCTTACTCAGCGTCTGTTCGTCTTGGGACAAAGGTTCTGGTGCAGAAACTCCATCTGAGAATTGAGCTGAGTTTGCAATATTGTTGCATAACTCACATTCAATTGTGACAGGGATATGACGTACACTGAATCTACAACCGATGGAATCGGATGAAGACACTGAAGGGGTTTGGGTAAGTATAGCTTCCCGGTCGAATAGCCGTTCATTGGAGATGGCGTTCAGTTTGCCTGATGGCGATAAGTCTGAAATATTGTCAGCTGATATCGGTATTGATTTGTTCAAATGCTTGGGACCCGCCAATTCACTGATGATATACACATTTGCATACTACCTACGTTGCCCGGTGTGGAACAGCGCATAAGGTCTCAGCCGTACCCTTCAACACTTCTGCCTGAGCCTGGGTCGCTTACGTCAACACAAGGCGAGGTGTGGAAATACCACAAACAGCTTAACACAACGTCATGACCGGACCAAATCAATTAAACCAGCAAATTCCCCTTTTCTGGAAGGTGGTGCGACGCTTTCACGGCGGGAAGTCGACTTTCCCCGTTTTCCGTGTGGCTGAAAGCGCGGTCCGGCCGGCTTCTCCTTCCCCTCTCTTTGTTCTGGAGGCTCCCGCAGATAACGAAATCGTGTCTGTCTGCTCGGCCGGCGGCGTTGGATAATCGATACCGACCCGCCCCGTCTCCCCCTGGTATCTGCGCTGACTTTTGCCCTCCGGGTGAGGCTACCACGTCGATGACTACCTGAGAAAGTGTCGGCGCCGGCAGCATGGAGCGAAGGCTCGGAAACTTTGGCAGATCAAATGACACGGCTAATGGCCGCTCGGTGATGGAGGAGAGACGTTTTGTGATGAATGGGTAGATTTAAGTTTGTAAAGAATAACAAATGTTAGTTTTACGAGCTTTGTATGGTAGGCGGGTTCTGAATTTTTGTGCATTCGGCTTCGCATGGAGCGAAGCCACGCTTTGCATATCATAAATATATTACTGTACAGCAATCATTGTACAGCTTATGAATGAACGGGGGGGGGGGGGGGGGGCGGGGTAGCCCAATCCAATGAGGAACAGTGTGAACATTGCGCAAACTACCCGCACGAGCATTTATAGCTCGCACTGAATTGCTTCTCTCCTGCCCATAGGCTGCTGCGGGGCGTTCGACACGCTCTTCTCGAGATCTAAAGCGAGCGTCATCCTGCCCTGCGACGGCATGACCGACCTTGACCCAGCCCAGGTCACCGAACTTGCCTGGCTCTGCTACGGCTGCATGGAGAGCATGATCGTGTCGGTGGACGCGGCGATCGAGACGAGGCTGCTGGAGTTCGTGGACGGCACGGCCACCGTGTTCCACAACCACGGCCGCATCAGCCTCCTGCCCGACACGCTCTCGCTCAAGTACGACCCGGTCGAAGTGAAGGACAGCGGCGAGTACCACTGCCAGGTCAACGGCCGCGAGCCCATCTCCGGCCTAATCAAGCTCGTCGTGCAGGGTAAGCCAGCGGAAGCCCGGCGGCGACGCAGTCTGAAGGTGACGCGCCGCTGCTAACTCAATTGACACCATTCAAAGGCTTACCTGGGAGCGTCAGGCCACTCACATCCCGCCGCGTGTCCGGCGCGAGGCTCGCGGAAATGATTCCCCGATCACGGACTTAACTGTCTGGCCGCGGCACTTTCATTTCTAGCTAACGTTTGCTACATCAGTTCCTGGAAAACGCCGAGAGTGCTATCATGACGCTTTCAATCACATACTGAGAAGACGCATGAAGAAGATCATTCAGTGTATCTGATGTAGAGATAGCGAAAGAAGAGCAGTGACGGCGATCTCATTTACGCACTTCATGCACTGCTTAATCAAATTTCAGAGTCCACTTCTGTAGCGTTTTCTTAAAACATTTCAAAGCGTTAAATCGCGAAAAAACTTGGTTTGTTGCGACGAATTTCAACGCATTCAACCTTATGTCTGTGCGTATTAAAGAACGAATTGCTGTGTGTGCGTGCTTGCGTGCGTGCGTGCGTGCGTGCGTGCGTGCGTGCGTGCGTGCGTGTGGACGCGTGCGCACGTGTGTGTGTGTGTGTGATGGGTCAAAGATTCGCATTCCCCCCTTCGTAAACGGCGTTTCAGGAAAAGCGGACTGATTTCAACCATTTAAATTTCAAACATATTTTGCGACATTAGTAATGCATCGGTGCAGGAACACACAATGTTATGTCGTTGCTGACCCCTGGGCTCCCCATGCCCCTTTTAGGTTGGACGATGCACCACATTGTAACGTCCGATCCTTTGTTGCTGAAATAGCGGTATGACATGTTTCTGTTCGTTTGACCCAACAGTCGTTCTTACACACTTTTAAAGGACAGGATAGTTTTTGGCTATATGAGCACATCTGCGACTTCAAATAACCCCTCAAAAAGGCAGTCAAAATTGGCAAAGCCTGCCCCAAAATACGTAAACACAATTGTCTCTCGGATTTTGGCCCACCTTGTTCTCAAAGTTAGTTGGAATGAGGCCACCCTCTCTTCCACACACACACACACTTGCACTGAATAGAAAACTATACCCATAGTGGAACACGCTGACGCCAATTCCAGAACACCGCACGTAGCGTGCTTTGACATCAACGTCCGAGATCGTAAACGAATTCGCGACGCTTCCTGCTGGGGTTGGAAATAAAAATGAACTTCAAATGTAAGGTCGGCAGTAGGACGTTACGACGCACTCCTCAGTTGCTAAGGCTATATGGCGTGGCCTGCCTCTCACCCTGACAGGAAAGCGTGAGAGGCATCGTGGAAAATCTAACCCCCTGCCTCTAGGTGCCGTAAAGTCATCTTAACCACTGCACTGTCAATACTCTGAAAATGTAAGGATTGTGTGGCAGAACTGCGTTCAATGTCAGCCACCTATCAATATTGGTTATTGCTCAAATGTAATTTGACGGAAACTTGATGACAGTTCTAACTAAATACCTAAAAATCTTACTAGACATGTGGTTCATCACACACCAAATCGGCAGTAACATAACACCCAATGTTTCACATTTTGATCACAATTCTTCTCGGGTATTATCTTATGCACTGAATGCAAGTGTGCAAAAGCTCAGACCAAGTTTCGACTGGATGGGTGGATCGTCGACAGGCTGCGTAGGTGACCGGGACCTATGTAAGTCGAGTTAAATCCCTACGACTGGATGGATGGGGGCTTATTTGCTCCTCCGGCTTTTTGCCACCCGTGCACACTATTTGGAAAGGATCATCTGGAAAAACAGTGACTCTCTATCTATACTTTTGCACTACGTGTTAATTTTTTGGTTACAATCTTAGCTGGGAGTGGATCTAGAACAGATTTTTGGAAGGTTCGTCTGGCTATTTTCACGCGTTTTGCTATGGGCGTGAACTAACGTGAAATTAATCAAATTCACTCTTCTTGTGAGGCGTTTTAAAGCGTAGCGACTTATTGTTTCTTATTTATATCTTATTCTAGCTGCTTATTATATATATACATATATATAAACATATATATATATATATATATATATATATATATATATGTATACATATGCATAACATATACACATGATAATCACCTATGCAACCATCTAAACTTGGTCTGAACATTTTCATGATAGCATGCTTAGGTAGTAGTGCTCTTCAGTAGCGTTGTACTAAAGAGGATCTGTGTGGTTTTGGTGCTCAAAGTCGGCAATCAGAGCTTTACAAATGAGGCGGTCATCAGCATAGGTCAAACCCATACCCATGTACCTCATTCACCCTCTCCAACTCGATCCATGCCACTATCACTGAACGGGGTCGCTATCTGCACCAATTGTCTGACGGTTGAAATCCCGCCTATCCTTGACACGGCCAGGCAATCAGCCGCTAAGCCCTGCGGGCATTCGGCCGTATGTCCACAATGGCCTGAGCTAACAGCGTCAACCGATTGCACTGACGGTCGATGGCCATGTTCGCTTCGCCTCCGCACAAGCTGCCAGCTGGCTTACACACGGCGAGAGGTAAGCTCCCTGCAATGTGTGAGCAGCTTTTTCCCCAAGGTCCTGACGCGGCGTGTGAGCAACTTGGTCTGCCTTCGTGTGAACCCATTTACGAGCGGGTTCCCTGGGCCGACCGGATTCCAACCAAGGACCACGGCAGATGGAGAGTAGCAGTACCTTTGGAAATGAGAATCTCACAACTTTCTCACCTTCTTCACCACACCAAAAGAATTCAAGGTGGTCTAAGTAAATTCAAAGGGCTTTGGCATGGCGGTTTATCAGAAGGCGCGTCTCTACGCAGCTCCGACGCAGAGTGAAACTCGTCACCACCATTCCTAAGATTGTATGAAGAAGTCCGAACTGGTCGATACCAGTGGTCATCTGCATAATCTCAGGTGCGTACGGAATAATAGAGACCGTAGTAAATTAAGGTAGGCCGAGCAATCTACATTCGCCGTGATAGGTGGCCAGGACCGCGGCCGGGGGTTGCATAGACCTCCCTAAAGTTTTTTTGAGTTTACGTCTCCGGTGTGGTGTGCAATGGTGCCAAAATTTCTTGTGGCCTATAGGACATGCATTGCGTGTGATTTGACACCTAAATGTGTCCCCAGCGTTTCTGATTTCCAAGCAGTGGCGGTCTTTAGGAACACTGCACGGCGCCATGTATGGCCTGCGCGAACGGCAACCGACGATGCTGCTGAAGGCGCGCGGCGACCGACGATGCTGCTGAAGGCGCGCGGCGACCGACATTGCCTTATGAAAGGGAGTGTTCATATTTGTATGGGATTTTGGACTGGAATGCCATCTTAAGGATCATACGGTGCAGTTCCCAGCCCTACCTTTCATAACCCGTGGTCGGGAGGGGGAGGGGGAGTTGATGACCGTACGGTTCAGCGCAGGTCGAAAACAAACACTCACAGCAACACTGAATTCTTAGTAGCTGTTCATCTATCGATTTGACATCCTGTGCGCAAGTTGGAGTTTTCCTACACCAAGAGGAGTTACCTAGGTCAGTTCAGAAGTCAACCTCTTAAAAATTTGACCATGCCTAACTTTTTGTGGGTCATTTACCATTGCTCAAACTTGGTAAAGTAACAGAATATGACAGTACCTTCATTTTGCATCTCTCGGATTTTTCGGAAAATGCGAGGCCATTGACTTGAAGTCAGAGCAGTTTTTGCTGTTTTCCATAAAACGTGCAAGTTTGTACGTATTTCTGTGTAGTGTTAAAGTTGTCTATGGAGAAGACAGTACTATCTTATATGCACAACCATCATATGACCACGGAGCATATGGCCTTCGCACAGGTCATGACCTATCTCTAGGGATACCTTTTGCAAAACATATGCTGAGCTCACAAAAGGCAGTTTTATGAGGTAGTTTTTGACGTGGAATTATAATACTCCGCTGAAAACACGCTGTGATACCATTCTAATGCATGATGCGGTCACAATAGGTCATGGTAGTGCATGCAGTCATGAATTCATGCAAGAGCAGTGACCTATGCTTCCAGGATAGACTCGATTGACGAGTGCGACGCTTTTAGCCACTTTCTAACGTGTTTGCGAGGCTGATGACTCTTAATTTAATGTACCAACGAATTTGTTTACAGGTTGTTACAAACACATTGCCAAGGACCGAAAGGGCAATGTATAATTTAGACAATAGCCATGCGAGCTTGATTACCTATAGATGATCCACTATTATGGATATAGTAATTATGACCACAGAGAACCAAGCATTGTACTAGTCTCACAGACCCTGTGAGTCTTCCAAGTTTTTTATTTGGGTGGTTTATAAATTTGACCTAATTTGACCTCAGATGACGTGTAGGTTACCCTAGGATGGTAGCTTTGCGTCTGAAATACTTATGCTCCACAGCTGCATCTGATAAGATATAGCCTACTCAGAAGCACATGGCTAAAGAAAAGCACCGTTCTCGTAGGTTACTAGTAGCGCAATTTTGGACGGTGATCTGATCTGACCGATCCAATGTCGGGAAACAGAGTTGACTGGAATGGACTCCGCACAGTCTTAACGTTTATTTCCGTGCCCTCGATATCCGTCCTGACATGTTAACATGGGTTTCAACTGCATCTACCGAAACGACCGTTTTTGACCTTTCGTGAATTCTACTGACCTTACGTTTGACCTAAAGTCAAAGACATAGCGTCCGTTCTTCATAATCTGACAAGACCTTCAAAACGGCATCTTTTTTCATACGACGTCTGGAAGTTGGGCATCCCAGGGGGGGAATTAAACTGCCTCCGACCGGGCGTGGGTTAAGACCTAGACCCCTCTAGTTTTTTAGCTATACGCTCGCGAATATGTGTAGACTATTTCAGGGACACTATTCCAAGGCCACCCAGACATCCATGACTCCATAATAACGTCATTCAAATCATGTTATTCCATTAGTATTGCGGCGATTAAGGTCAAGACAAATATGATTGTCGAGTTGTTCAGATCTGGCGGTCGTGAACGCGATTTCCAGACCTAACGGC